AGGAGAGGTCTTGAATCCTTTATTTTCTTTCCTTTCTAAGTAAATATATAATTCAATTATTGCTTTGTTTTTATCCAGGCAGTGAACCTATCTGATTGGTCAGCATCTAAGATGGCTGATTAGAAGACCACTTAGTGCTGGGTTGGTACTGCACCTGCCAGGGTGCTCACGCTCCCCCTCCATCTGCAGACTGCTCAATTTTAGTGTACACCCCTGCCCACCTCCCAACATTCCATGCAGTTAGGCCACGACTCACTTAGCAGGGTGGATTTCTTTCTTTCTTACTTTTTTTTTTTTTTCTTCCTTTGATTTACTTGTTCCAGGCAGCCTGCTGTACTTTGGGAAGATCTCTGGTTCTAGATTTTGGCGTTAAGGTGTGGAAAGAGTCCGCTTCATGCTCAGACCCAAGCCTTATTCTCTACCAGGTCTTACTGTGCCATTATTGGACACTGCCATGCATGTCATCTGCTGTGGGGCCGTGGCAGACAGAAGGAGCAGGATGGGCTTGGTAGTGTTGGACATTCTTGGGTCCCAAGAAAACTTGACTTGGATTCTTCACATAAATGACAGAAAACTAGTAGGAATCATGAATGCCTGGAGTTACAGCACGAGGTTCTCCAAGCTCCGGACTGACTGACATAATGGACCAGATTTCAGACATGAAATTTAATCATGGGAATTCTTTTATTTTATTTTTAAAGATTTTATTTATTTATTCATGACAGACACAGAGAGAGGCAGAGACACAGGCAGAGGGAGAGAAGCAGGCTCCATGCAGGGAGCCTGACACAGGACTCGATCCCGGGTCTCCAGGATCACACCCTGGGTCAAAGGCAGTGCCAAACCGCTGGGCTACCAGGGCTGCTCAGGGAATTCTTTTAGATGGTGATAGGGCTACTTATTCTGCAATGGTCCGTGTAAGGCAGGAAGGGGAGCAGTGAGGGCCAGACATGGATTCTGTATGGGGAAGAATGCCCTGTAACCATCAAAGGTGTGCACTTCAGGGGACCCTGCAGTAGGGAATGGACAGCTTCTGTGTGAGGAGGCAGAAAAGAAACTCCATCACGATGATAGTCAGAGGCTGGAGTCCTTCATGCAAGTAAGGCCTAGAGCTCTTCAAGCTCTTACACAGAGATTTCCCAAATGTGTTGGGCAGGCCGAGGATCAAGCTGACCTCTGTTCTGTCCCCCCAGAGTTTCATGTACCTTTTAGAGTTTTCTTCAAACCTTGTGGGGCTGAGTTTAGTTTTTCCAAGAAGTCCAGTTTCTCTCAGATTATTGACGGTCTCTGATAATGTGAATTTACCTCCTGATTCTAACTGTCTTTTTCAGGCATCTGCTGTGTGCTTTGCTCTGTTGGGAGCAAACATGATAATAAAAGTAGTGTCAGAAGCAAGTCTAGATATCAAGATACACAAGGCATAAAATACACTAGGCCATCTGTCAAACTAAGAAACTTGGGATTGGACAAAAAAAATGTTGCTGGCAGAAACTTAGAAGGAAGGGAATGGTTTGCGGAGACTTAATCCAGCAGGTAATGGAATAGATTAGCATATTTAAATAACACGATGTTGATGGGAATTTACTTAAAACTCTAACGTTGTCATTTGTGAACCATGCCCTGTTCTTCTTTTTTTTTTTTAAATTTTTATTTATTTATGATAGTCACAGAGAGAGAAAGAGAGAGAGGCAGAGACACAGGCAGAGGGAGAAGCAGGCTCCATGCCCCGGGAGCCCGATGTGGGATTCGATCCCATGTCTCCAGGATCGCGCCCTGGGCCAAAGGCAGGCGTCAAACCGCTGCGCCACCCAGGGATCCCGCCCTGTTCTTTATTGAATACTAAAAAAACAAATAAAAGAAACCCAGACCCCACAAACTCCATCTCTAGACCTCCACTCTGAATACTTAACTGATATATATATTTTAAAGGTTTTATTTATTTATTTATTTGTTTATTTATTTATTTATGATAGAGAGAGAGAGAGAGAGAGAGAGAGAGAGAGAGGCAGAGACACAGGCAAGGGAGAAGCAGGCTCCATGCAGGGAGCCCGACGTGGGATTCGATCCTGGGTCTCCAGGATCATGCCTTGGGCCAAAGGCAGGCGCTAAACCGCTGCGCCACCCAGGGATCCCCTTAACTAATATTTTACTTGATATACCAGATGCTGAGATGATTTTCCATGAATCAGTTTAAATACAAATTACCATTTTACATCATGTGAAAGGGTTAATATATCAACATCTGGCCATTCTTCTTTACTACAAAGATTCTGTGACTCCATTAACATTGAAGGTGCTCTGCTCTGCTGTGTTATCCTTTTCTGCTCTTGAGATTTAGACCTGACGGCTAAGAGCACATGTCCGGTGGCCAGACGCCCTTCCCTCCTGGACAGCACCAAGTGTGACGTATGCTTACTTCTTAGCCGCCTGAAACTGCTGAGGGAGCCGTCCTGTTCTATTTGCATCTCATTGCTGCTCTGACATTTCTAACTTGTGGCAGATATGCTTCCACACATATGCTTCCTTTTACATTATGTATCCTTAGGACCTCACCACCTATCGTTTGCTGGAGGAGAGAGGCCGGGTAGTCTCATTTTATCTCTGTAATGTAGTTAATTACAGATTCACACCGCCTACTCTGACCTCATCAGAAATCTATGTTTGGATCATGGGGTACAGTGAAGAACACCTGGCTCTCAGGGCACAGTTCCAGGGACCCATTGGATGTACATGCTGTTTTCACATCTTTGAAGCTGTTTGTGTCTTTCAGGATCCTAGACTTAAAATTTAGATACATTGAAGAGTAGATTTAGTAAAGAGTGGTGTTTGTTCCTTTCTACGGCAAGTCTGAGGTGGCACGCAGAATAGTATAGCTCAAGGAGGGAAATTCCACTCTGTTGTCTCTGTCCTGATTTATTCTGCATCCAACACAGTGAAGGTAAGACGCCTGGTTAGTCTTGAGCTGTCTTTAGCTGGAACGCCTGTGCCGTTTCAGAGCTGGGCACCAGGCACCCTGATGTGTCAGATGAGGGCTTATTTAGTATGCTGGCCTGCCTGCTAATGTTTACTGCTTTCGATTCAGCTCCCTGTACACTTAACATTCCTTTTATAATCACAGCTGCTTGAAATGCCAGTAGGTATGTTCTTAGGGCTCCAATTTTTGCCAGCAGGTTCACTGGGAAAAAAAAAAAAAAAGCAGAAAGAAAGGGGGCACAAATTTCACTCCATGGATAATTACATGTTCCTTCAAGAGGTTGGCACTCGTCAGCACCCACCCTGGGAACCGGTCCAGGAGTGCAGATGAGCAACAAGTATGCTTGGAGTGAATGGGTCTTCAGCTAACCAAGGGAGCATAAAGGATGCTCTGTTTGGAGAAAAGAAAGCAGATAATCAGTTGACAACACATATTTACTGTTAGTGTTCCAAATTTGGATCCTGAAAAGTAAGAGCTGAGCACTTAGATGTTGAGTCTTGCCAACAGAGAGTAATTTGAATTAGAACTCCAAGTCATGGGCAGCCTGGGTGGCTCAGCGGTTTAGCGCTGCCTTCAGCCCAGGGCATGATCCTGGAGACCTGGGATCAAGTCCCATGTCAGGCTCCCTGCATGGAGCCTGCTTCTTCTTCAGCCTGTGTTTCTGCCTCTCTCTTTCTCTCTCTCCTTTCTGTGTATTCTCATGAATAAATAAATAAAATCTTTAAAATAAAAAAAACACCACCAAGTCATTATACTTCTATCTTGATTCTCAGGCCAAGGGCAGTGTGTGCACGTGTGTAGGTGTGTGTGTATGTGTGTAGAATTTGAGATAAGAGGCTTGTAAGGGTTCTTGTCCTGTGTGTTTTTTTTCTAATCTGGGAAATAGGATGCTGCAGGGGCTTAGGTTTCAAAGTAGCAAATGCTTGCTTGTAAGTATAGCTGTGAAGGAAGCACTTAATCAAATTCAGCTCTTGAAAGATGACCCGTTCACCAGATGTTTATCCCTGTACCTGCCTTCCTTTTTTATGCCAAGTTTATGCTTACCAGAGTTGGGTGGACTCCCTGAGTGTACCCTTAGCTCTGGCTGTCCTCGAGGCAGGTTTAGTTATAGTTAGGGGCGAAACCCAGAGGGAAGGACACGGGAAACATCATGGTGGCAAAGGTCGTAGAGCAATGGAGGGATAAACAGTCTCATTTCTCCGAAGGCGCAAATACCTGCCATCTGTATTCTCCACCCCTCCACAGCCGCTTCCTGCCCTCCTTCAGGAGGTGCTCAGGAGTAGGCAGGTGAGCAGGGACATTCCCACTTGAGAAGGCCATCGTGAGAGTTGCATCTTCTAGACATTCATCACTGCATTCATCACTGCATCTTCTGGTAGAATCAGGAATAAAACTGCAAGAGCCGCTTGACCAGAGTGACCCCGGCAGGAGTCCGGCATCATCGGCAGCAGGAAGTGACCATCTAGTTGGAAACTTGAAACTTGAAAGCGGCCCTCGACCCAACGGGAGGATGAAAGCAGCTCATCCAGACACGCCAGAAACTTGAGCTTGTCCGCTTTTGGAGCTCGCGCCTCAGAAGCCTTGGAGGAACATCCTTGGGTTGTGACCTGGCCCACACACGCCTGCATGGCTGTCTATGTGAAGACACGAGAGAACAGTTCTTAGATGTGACGCCCCGTTTGTTTTTTGTTTTTTTTTTTAAGTCCGCATAAGCGTGATGGCCTTAAAACTTAGCACTTTAAAGGGGTCCTGCCCTCCCACCCGTATTCCGGGGGAAAATGCGAAAATGCAGTTATGGGGAGCCGAGGCTCACCGGGGCTGAGTGACTTGCCAGAAGCCCCCACCGTCAGGTGGCAAGACCACTGACCGGGACGGACGCCGTCTGGTTCCGCTCCCCGGGCTCGCGGGGCCGCACCCCTCCTCCGAGCCTCGTCGGGGGTCCGCGGGGCCGCACGGGGGGGCCCTGGGGGGGGGCGGCCCGGCGGCCCCGGGCCCTGAGCAGCCTCCGCCCTCTCTGTCTCCTCAGATGCCGCCCGTACGAGGACTGCTGTGGCTCCCGGTGCTGCGTGCGGGCGCTGTCCATCCAGCGGCTGTGGTACTTCTGGTAGGTCCCGCCCTCCCGGGGAGCGCGGCCCGGGGAGCGCAGGCCCCGCCTCCCGGAGCGGCGCCTCCGACGGCGCGGACCACGGCGGCCTGCGGCGTCCTCCGGCCGGCTCGTGGCCGTGACCCAGCGCCGCTCCGAGGCCAGGCGGCCCGCCGGCCGCCGTCCAGCCCCGCGAGGGACGGCAGAGCGGCCGGACGCCCGGACTGCGGAGCGGGGCCCGGGCCGCGGCCGACGGGGCGCACCTCCCCTCGATACCGGGGCCGCCCCCCGCCGCGCCTCTGAAACGGCCGCGAGGACGCCGCGGGGTCGGGGTCAGCGCCGGCGGGGCGGGGCGGGGCGGGGCGGGGCCGGATGCGCCGGAAGGCGGGTGGGCGGGCACTTCCGGCGCGCAGCACCCTGCCCCGCCCCCCGGGGGACCCCGCGGCGCCCTGCTGACCTCGGGCTCCGCCGTTTGTGGCTTCCGAGGCCTCGAGGACTCTTCCTGTTAAGCACGTCGCAGCGGCCACGTGAAACGTTCTGTGAGGTTTTCTGTTTCCCTTCCGACCTCCGGCCCCAGGCCGCGGTTACGGAAAAACACCGGTGAGCGGGCTCCGCGCCTGCGAGGCTGCCTTCGGGTCACGGCGCACCCTGGCCTGGCCGCCCCTGGGGCTGGCGTTGACCTCTCCGGCCGCCGTGTCACTACTTCCGGCCAGCCCCCGGAGCCAGGGCCGTGCTGGTGCCTAAAACTCTGTAAGAGAAGGTAATTTTTTTTTTTTTTTTTAATTTAAGCCTAAGATTTTCTAAGTGTCTCCATCTCTGGGTGCGCTTCAAGGTGGAGTGGACTAGGACGGGAGGACCAGGAGGGGCGGCGCTTCAAGCTTTGCCAGGCCTCATGGATCCTCCCCACCAGTTTTCCCCCAGGGGGCCTTGCAGTACGAGGAGGCAGGACTGTCTGGGGTAAGGATCCTGAAATAGGAAGTTATGCCACGTGGCCTGAAGCACCAGATGTTCCTCACAATGAAACGCTCCTCAAAGTCAAAAAAATTTGTCAATATTTAGGTATTATGTGATTTTTTTTTTTTCTGTTTTTAATTGGGAGTCCAGGGAGTGCCTTGGTGGCTCATTCAGTGAAGCGTCTGACTCTTGATTTCGGCGCAGGTGGTGATCTCGGGGTCATGAGATCCAGCCCCATGTTGGGCTCTGCACCCGCTTAGGATCCTCTCTCTCCCTCTGCCCCTACCCTCCCTCAGGGAAAAAAAAAATAATTGAGAGTCCAGGCGAAAGGTGAGGGCCTAGAAACTAAAACACCTTTTGTTAGCTTTCCCAGGAAGCTTTACCTGAACCAACAGTCAGGTGCCTTTGAACTACTCATCAGGATCACTTGTCAGAGTCGGGCGCATTGGTAAGGTAGCACGCATCAGGGAGTTAGTGGGACCCCTACACAGAGACATCTTGTGAGGGCCATCAAATCAGAGGATCCGGATGCTGGAAGATGTGGTCAAGTTATAAGTGTTGAGATTCTGACAACAGGTTCTCTATAGCCAGAGAACTCCTCGAGGTATAATTTTTTTTTAAGATTTTATTTGTTTATTCATGAGAGACACACAGAGGGAGGGGGGGCACAGGCAGAGAGAGAGAGAGAGAGAGAGAGAGAGAGAGAGGCACAGGCAGAGGGAGAAGCAGGCTCCATGCAGGGAGCCCGACATGCGGGACTGGATCCCAGGACTCCAGAATCACGCCCTGGGCAGAAGGCAGGCGCTAAACCGCTGCGCCACCCCAGCTGTCCTCAAGGTATAATTTTGAGGGGTGCCAGCTAAAGTCAAAGGATGCCTGGGTTCTGCTCCAAGCCCTCCTCCTCGCAGTAAACATGAAGTGTCTGGTGTGTACCAGGGTCCCGTGGAGAGGCACTTCCCGTAGTCAGGCTCCTAAAACACACAGATGTCTCAATAGGTAATTGTATGTGGAGAGTTTTAAACCAGTGTCCTGGAGACACAAGATGGAGCCTCTGATGCCAGAGAAGTTGGGAAGAGCTGGCAAAGCTTCTGACCGGGTCTCAGAGAGGGTTCTGTGCAAAGGACCCGCATGTTGATGGGACAGATAAGAGCCAAAGTGGTGAGAGTGGCAGGAAACTCATGTGGGGGGGGGCAGGTATTTGGGGGAGAGGCACAGGAATGGGAATATGGAGCCGGACATGGAGGGAAGGAAGGGCTGCTCTCCTGGGTCCCACCTCGTTTCTGAAGACTTCTGTCTCCTTACCATAGAACAAAGGTTTTAGATGAAAATGCTTTCAAAAGTCCCTGCCAGTTCTAAAATATTTAACTCACACGGTGTGAATGAAATCATGAGGATTAGAAAAACTAGACCAGTAGCACCTTTGGTAGAGCTGGAAAGCACACTGGGAAGGGTTATCGAGGTGCATGAGGCCTGCTGCGGGTGCCCCCCACTCCGGAGAGCTGGATGTACCTGGGTGCACCTGGGTCTGCATAGGCCTGGGAAGGAGTGCACCTGGCAGGGTTAGTGTGGTGCATGAGGCCTGCTGCAGAGCGCCGCCACTCCAAGGAGCTGGATGCACCTGGGACAGTGCATTCAAGGAGAGAACCAAGTGTTGGGGGAGGGCAGGAAGGAATTGGAAAAAAACAACTTGAGCTGAACAAATCAGACTACTTTCGACAATAGAAAAGGCAGAAACTTCCTGTCTTAATCCTGGAAAGCTCCCCAAACCTGCTCAGCAGTGAAAAGGAACTTGTAGAACACCATCCTCAATACTTCAGAGAACTGCCTCTCTTCCTCTCCCACTCCTGTTCCCTAACTGAGGTCCTGCTTTCTCTCTTTCCGTATTACTACAAATTCATTTTGCTGCCCCTTTATCAGTTTCTCTCTTAAAATAAGTTCTTTCAGAGTAATATTTCAATGAGGAATGACTCTGATGATGCCTGATACCTAAGCTGGCCATTGGTCCCCTGCCATGTGACTTTGCCCTGTCCCTGCCTTGTACTTACTTTATATCAGTCTAAAGTATGAGGTGCGATATCGTTCTTACTTGGCCAGCAAAAGAATAATTCCTTTTGATAGTGTAATCCGCATGGCAGTTTATCTCGTGGAAGGGACCCATATCTCAGAGGTCTTGTGCATTTTCTAATCCAGGCGCCGGGTCTCTTAGGAGTAAGTGGCAAGGTTATTTGAAACCTTTGTGGACAGTCAGCCTCTCTATGCTTCATATTCCTGCTCAGATACTTAGAGTTGACCCACTGTTGAATGTACGATTATAATTGAGTCCACCAGAGGGAAATTAGTTTTAAGAGCTGGAACGGCTCCCTGTGTGATTCCAGCATCTCAGTGGTGAGATGCCAGGCCCCTGCACCGTGGAGCTCCTTTAGCTCCCCGGCCATGCTCTGGGGCCTCTCGCCCACCTAGCTTCCTGCTGGAGCGTAGATGCTGTTCTTCCCAGCCAGAAGGTGCCTTCCCTCCTCTTCAACTTGCCTCTCTTCTTTCCATTCTTCAGAACTCAGCTCGGATGTTGAAGGGAAAGAAGTTTTTCTGATTGCCTCGCTATAATACCTACCCTTGTTTAAAACCTGTTGCACTGAATTGTACACTTAAAAATGGTGACAAGGGTCAATTTTATATATATTTTACCATACACCCCCCCCCTTGATTGCACCTTCATTTTTCTTTCTTAGCACTTACTAGAGTTGTAAATCACTGATTTTGTAAATTTGTTGTTTGCTGTTCTCCTCTACTAGAACTCAGGTTTAATGGGTTGAGAGGGACCTCACCATATTCTCTGTAATGCATAGCATGGTGCTGGGAGCAGACCAGATGCTTAAAATTGTTCAGTGAATAATGAATTAGAAGACAGGTCAGAGAGCCACAATTTCTGCCCTTTCCTGAATCATTTCCTGTCCTTTGCCTCTGAACTATCTTCCTATTCCATGTTCCTACTATCTTCCTACTCCACGTTCCAAGGTTGTCCAGTAAATACTGATTGACTTATCAGTGAATAAGTGTCTTCTTACACTTAACATCATACTAATAAAGTCTTTATCATCTGCATTTTTTTCTTAAATTTCATGTATGTATGGCCAGACACCTTTAACCATGGCACAGCCACCTCTGCTGCATGTTCATCTTTCACAAGGCAGTATGCTGCCCACGTAGTATGGCTATACTGGCTGAGGTTCTGGAGTGTTGCATGAGTCCCATCGTAATGTCAGGTCAGAAATATGCAAGAGCTTCCCAGCTATGTCTGTGCAGGACAGACAGCTTGGCTCTTCTCAGAACGACTTCCCTTGTTTCAGGAAGAAAAGGTATGGTGCAAATGTGAGGTGGGAAGAAGCCATGCAGTCGTTTATTGAATGCCAGCAGTGTGACCATCTCTGAGAACTCCTAGATGAGCTGGACAGAGGTCCTGTCATCAAAGTAGTCAGCTCTGCTGTTCGTTAGATTTTAAGATCACAGTAGGGAAATGTCAGCCATACCTAGAGATTTTACATATGCAGCTTTTCTATTGACTGTGAGTATTTTTTCTAGTCCTGTAGTTTTTTCTGTAATGAGAGTGTGCTCTAGGAAGGTCACCATTTAAAATTTCTTTGGGAATATTCACGTTACAATGAAGAGAAAACTGCTAGGAAGGATAAATGTGCTTGTCCTTGTTGCTTTCTGGGCAAAGAATGGAAAACGGAGGACATGGACAGTGAGGCAAAAGCCCGATCGGCCGTAGCCTTGTGTTCAAACATTGAGATTGAGGTTGAGAAGGCATCTCCTGTTTTGACTAAAATGACCGAGTTGAGGTGAGAGCTATGGACGGGAAGTGCTTGTACCAACCCTTCGAAGGCAGCTGACCATTTGGAGCTGAGAACTCTCCCTTAGCTTCTCGGTGTGAGTTCCATTCGGGGGCATCCCAGAAGTCTACCCAGGAACGTCCGGGGGGAGATGTGAGGGGAAGGCCAGCCTGAGGAGCCAGGTGCTGAGCCCCGCCCTGTGGCCCCCTGCCCTTGGGATTGCCGAGCCCCCCAGCCCCCCCGCCATCGGCCCTGAGCACCGCCTCACCACTGTGCTTTTGTTCAGGTTCCTCCTGATGATGGGCGTGCTCTTCTGCTGTGGAGCGGCTTCTTCATCCGGAGGCGCATGTACCCCCCGCCGCTGATCGAGGAGCCTGCATTCAACGTGTCCTACACCAGGCAGCCCCCAAACCCCGCTCCAGGTCAGCCCACCCCTCTGTCCTTGTCTCTCCTCTTTGCAGTTTTTGTGTCTCTGCAAGCATTTAAAAAGGTCCCTGCTGTCGGATATGCTAAGAAGAATAAATTCAGGCCATATTTATTCAATTAAGTTCCGGTGATCAACCTTACTGTGCATTTGTGCTGATGAAAAGTGTGGATTGTATTTCTAATATGTTTGCCTAATTAGTGGTGCACCTTTTATGCAGTTCATATATGCATATAGTTTGCTCTTTTTCCTTAAAAAATCATAACATGTATAAATTTCTATGTACAAACAGCAGCGTCTCTGTCATTCATAATGCATCCGGGCTAAATATTAATGATGCTGCTAAATGGTGATTTGCTTAGATATTATGTCATTGCTGATCATTTGTTTTCTCTTGTTTTGCTTTTTATTCATTCAAGAAGCATTTATTATGCAATTTACTAGCATTCTGAGTACTTACAGATAGTGCTGATCGAGACATTTTTGTATAAGTTACATTTGGCCTAGTTAGGGAATGTTAGTTACCCAAAGTGGTGCCACAGAGTCAAGAAAACTTGGTGGTTTCCTAATTCTTAAAAAATTGCTTTAACTTACCTAAAACTCTCAGGTACTATGGTAGGTGAATTCAGGCTTCCCTCAGGACACAGGCTGGCTCCCTGTTAGGGAGGTTACTTGTGAGATGTTTCCCTTCCCTTTGAGGGAACCATCTGAGGAGGAAGGGATAGAGGGGTGGTTAGGCATTGCTCGTTAGAGCTCTCGTCGTTGGGCTACCGTGTGCCGAGGCTCAGTGGCAGGCCTCACTCCTACACACGCTGCCCTCCTCCTCCCTGTCACAGTTTCCACCTGGAGAGCTGAGGGCGGGGGTTCTCTCTATGGATCGCACACCACACCTCAAGTAGACAGTTCTAGGAGCAGTTCCTGCCGTGGTCTGTATGTCCTAGAGAAGTGCTACATGCAGTATAAGGTTTATAGTAAATAGCACTGCCAATTTAAAATATTGTGAAGAGAGTTGATCGTACATGAAGTGTTCTTATCATCATCATACTAAATTTGGGGGTGATGAATAGATTTATGGCATATATTGTGATGATGTCACTGTATATATTTATCTCCAGACTCACCAAGTTGTATACATTAAATATGTTCAGCTTTGTGTAGGTCAGTCATAACTCAAAATGGTGATTTAATAAAAAAAAATTAGGGGGATTGAGAGTAAGAAGTTTTCTCTCTCCTGTTCACATGAGGACATGCTGTTCTCAAGATGCAAAGGGAGTGGAGATGGACATTTGTTGATTAGTTCTTTTACACCAGATACTCCTCAGTTGTCTCTCTTTTTTTTTTAAATCTCTATTATTTTTTTTCAAATGTTACTAAAAGATCTGACTAGTATTTTCTGTAACATTCAGAGGTTGCTGTATGTTAAACTTTCAGAGTAGTCCCACTTTTCACATGTAAGTGGATTTTTATTCTTTCTTGTTCGGAAACACTTGAATAGCTTCAAATTTACACTCTAGCACAGGATGAAGTGCAAATTTTTCGGTTGAAATTGAGGAGGGTGCAAAATTAGATTTCATCTGAATTAGCCTAAGTCAGTCCTTTGATTTTTTTTTTTCTTCCAAGAAAGAAACAGTAGATCAGACGTATGAGTCAAAGATTTATAAATTTCCTCCTTTTTTTCTTCAATCACTATGTTGATTTGTAGTGCGGGGAAAAGCAGCCATGTCCCATGTGGCCACAGATGCAAGATGCCACGTGTCCTTTGTCCACAGTACTGGCCAGGTGTCAGGTCTGTGGTCCCTTTACTGTCAGGGTGAACATGCGGGGGGGCATCTGGAGCCCCGGCTGCGTGCCACATAATTCCCCTTGAATGTCTACGGCGTCTTGTATTTCCAAATGACAGTGCAGCATGTCCCCCATGTGCCGTCTTTCCCCGTCCTGCCTCTTTTCTGCATGCTGGTGCTCCCTTCCTGAGGTCCTCAGCACCCTTATCAACCGCACCCAATAAGTAGGTATCAGATTCTCATTTTACCCTGAGCTATGGCTGCTGGAAGTTTCCCAGTCACTGATGTCTTCGAGCTCTTTGTCTCCCATAGTGCCACCAGAAAGTTCTTGATGAAAAAAAAAATTAAAAAGCACATAGGTCATATTATTCTTTTGCTTTAAGGTTCTCTGCTCACTTTGCTACCAGCGTGTCCACACTCAGCCAAGGACTCAACATCCTTTACAGCCTCATCCCTCCGCCCATGGACTTGCTTCTGCTCAGTGTCCTATGTCAGCCACTTGGTCTCTCACAGCCCTGCTGTCTCACTGGACCCCTGCATGCGCCCTCTGTCTGCTGTCTGCCTGGAAAAGGCCCCCTTAGTGAAATTGTCCCAAGCCACATCTTTGTTGCCTTTCCCTTCTGGGTGCTTTGCCGGGTTCTTTAACAGCATTGATTGTAGTGAGTTTTAATCCCTCTTATGTACTTCGGACCCTTATAGAGCCCATGATTCAGTAGGATTACATCCCCGGCACCAGACGGATTCACGTCTGCCGGCTGAGTGACCTGGCCAGCCTGGAGTCAGGATTATAGGGGCCACACTCGGAGCCTGGAGCCCTGCCGTGCTTGAATTGCTCGCTCAGCCCATGTATCCGCACATCTGCTAAGGTGCAGCAGGTACATGGGACACTACCCCACAGCCTGGGTTCCAGCCCTCACTCACCCACTTGTGCAGCATTGAGTCATATGCACAACGGGTGTGAAAGCCTATATGGTGGCACAAATGACCATATAGTCATCAAACGTGGCGAGAGCTACAGAGGCAAACTGAGGATGTGGGGAAGCCATGTATGTGGGAGGCTGTCTGGTGTGCAGGTAGGTGGGACTGAATGTTTAAGTGGGGGTGAGAGGAGAAGGAACGAGGGACCAGGAAGTGGGCAGGGAGGACCCTGTGGTCTTCCTTTCACACCAGCCTTTAACATGCCCACCACGTCTCTGGAGCTCCAGTGCTCCAAATAGCTGTTGTCGATGTCCTGTGACCACAGGACCAACTGCAGGACACCACTGAAGGTGGCATAAACGTAGGAGCCTAGGGCAGGGGAGTTCCAAATAAAAAAGAGTCTGTTTGTAGACAGCAGAGAAAGACTAGAAATGCCAGTCAGCAGCTGTTGAGGGAGAAGCACAGCCTTTCAGACATCTCAGGTAGTGTGGTTTGGCCCCATTCTGCCTGTGGTTGGAGGCATTCTCAGGAGTGGGGGCCGTTCATTCCCTCCAAGACCTCTCATGATGCACTGACCATTGGAGCAGCATAAGAGCCCATTCACCACTTGTGGAGAGCATTGGTTTTGGTGCCCCTGTCTCTCTGGTGAATCACCATCTCTCCCATTTGTGTACTTCATACAGGCCAGTAGCAGCATGAGATAGGCAGTCTCGAGATAGACCAGAGTGTCGTATGAGAATAAGACTTGCTGGGAGCTTTGTCTCATCACTCAATAAACTTTGCTTCACTATCATTCAAAAAAAAAAAAAAAAAGAGAGAGAGAGAATAAGGTTTGCTTTTTTGTTCCACGGGAGTCGGCAGTTTCCATAATTTCACTACAAAATCAAAGTCAGTGTCATTTGTTCACAGCGCTGAGCTTGGGAGCAACACAAGTGGTTTGATTTGATTTTTTAGAACTAGTAAAAAAAAAAAAAATAGGGCCTGTTGGCTTTTCAGTGATTCCAGTGTAGATACCCACCTCATCCTGTCAGTGGGATTCATCCTCTCTGGAGCTGTTTGTGGAGATCCTGTAGCTCTCAGGGCACCGTGTCCTTGGGAATGTGCAGTGTAAAAAGAAGGCCATGCAGAGCTTGGCACTCTACGGAGAAACTCAGTGCACTAACGTGACATAGTAGGTTCACAGGGTCACTGTTATGTCCAGTGCTCAGGAAAACAGTATCTTCGTGAAACACAGAATAGCGTTTGTGGATTTACTGGGGAAATCTCTTCTGCTGACCTGGGGGAGGGCAAGTGTATTCTGGTGAGCTTTGCTTATTCATGAAGAAGAAACAGCAGAAGGTTTTAGAGAACCTATACTCGTGCCCTGGGGGACAGGGAGAGGGTAGCAGCTCATAGCCTGGCATGCAGAGGGGCACACGGTGGTGTTCCAGCTGGGACCAGCAGCCCAGGCCAGTGTGGCTGAGTGAAGAGAGGCAGATCTGTATGCTGCAGAGATGCTCCTAAGTGGAGGATTGTGGCAGCATCATGGTTCTAGGGGGCTGATGCAGGTTCGAGCACGACTTGGGGGAAGAGACTGACACACGAGGCGTGCAATTGAAGTTCAGAGGCAGGATTCCCAAAGAAGCAGAGGCTGAAGCCCAAGGCTGCATTTAGCTCATTGGAGACTCAAGCTCGATGAGGGGGTATCACAGAAGCTGTGTTTTGGGGAACAAAAAAAGTCAAGGCACCTGAGCAGGCCAGGGTCCAGGTCCTTAGGGTTCTTAGGCTCCTGGACAGCCCAAGGTCTGTGAGATCAGAGTGGTCCACTGGTTCTTAGCCTAGGCACTTTCTATGCAAAATGGAATCATGTGAAGCAAAGCACTGCTCGTTTTAGTCTTTCTATATAGAGGTGGCCAAAATGCAACTTTACATACAGAGTTCTATAAATGCTGTAGCTCCCCAGATATTTCCACGCCATGCTGCTGGCAGGGGCCATGGGTACATCCTCCTGGGTGGAGAGGAGAGATGGACTCCCTTCCTTCATTCGGAAAACATGAGCCCATGGGCAGCAGCCTCTGTGTTCACACAGGAGGATGGGTGTGGCTAAGATATGGTCACGGCTGCCCTCTGAGAACTTGTAGAATGAGGGGGCGTGCAGGTGAGGACGAGGGTCAAAAGATACAAACTTCCAGTGATACGGTAAATAAGTTCTGAGGACGACGTACTGCACAGCATGCTGACCATATATAAGCTGCTAAGAGGGTAGATCTTCAAAGTTCTCATCAAAAAGAAAAAAAATATGTAACTCTGCAAGGCAGTT